TGGAGCTGCTTGCTGAGGGGGAGGGGACCGTAGAGGGAGCAGAAGCTCGAAGACTCTGGGACAGTCCACTGCATGGGGCTGGGCGCTGGGGCCTCTGGGTGGGCCCAGGCTGGCCCTAGAGGAGGAGGGAGATGGGGGTCAGGTGAAGAGCCTGTGGGGGCCAAGAGAAAAGCAGAGGGGGTGGGCCTAGGGCTCTTGGGCCAGTGGATGTGGTGGAGGCTGCTCCCGCCCAGCCTCAGCAGGAAGCCAGGCCGCTGCTCCGTGCGCTCCCGGCTGAGTGGCACGTGGCTCCGCACACCAGCCGTGTCCAGGCCGTGTTTCATCTCCCTGCCTCAGCCCCAATTTATGTCAGGCAGAGGCTGACGCGGGGACAGGTGTGACAAGTGTTTGGCTTCCTGTTTGAAAATTGGCAAGAGAAAAACTCTCCCCATAAAAATGTCCTATCTACATACCTCCTGGATGTCACAGAGAGGCCCCGTCATGGCCCAGACAGATGGTGGCCCTAATGGACTCCATTCTTCACCTGCTGCCTGAGCCTGGCCTGGCTCCTGGGGTGGCCTGAGGTGGGTGGCGGCAGCGTGTGTGTGTGTGTGTGTGTGTGTGTGTGTGTGAGTGTGTGTGTGTGTGTGTGTGTGTGTGTGTGGCAGTGTCCCTACTGAGCCCTGTCCCCCCCACCTCCAGATCACAGGAAGCCGGAATAGGCATGCCCAACCTCTTCAGTGCCAAGGGGCCCAGGCGTGGGGATTAGGGAGGGAGGGGCTGCAGACTTTCATGCTGCGGCTTCAGCCCCAGGTGGCCCACTGTGTTCACTGTCCCCACATTGCCCTGAGGCCCCGGCGGGGTCAAGACCCCCAGCATATCACCTCTGCAGGACCCCTCGGGCCAGACTGTGGTGTGGGAGGGGAACAGGTGTGGGAGGGGTTCTGGGGAGGAGAGCCCTTCAGGGTGTGTGTCTGAGAACAGAGCGGGCATCCCTGAGGGTGCTACCTGAGCAAAGGCGAGGCCCAGTGCTCCTGCCTGCCAGGGCCTGGGTAAGGCTGGCTTAGGCACCAGCACGCCCTTTCTCAGTGTGACTTGACCTCCCCTAAGTCAGATGGGGACCGTGGTCCCTGCTGGGGCGACATGAGGCACTTTTTGGATGCTCCCGCAGGGTGGGCGGGCTGGGCATTTCCTGTGCACTCACTGTGCGCCTGCTCCCGGGAGCTGTGTGGTCTCTGTGCCCCCTGGGAGGTGGGTCTCGTTATCTCCACTCTCCAGGTGAGGGAATGGTTCCTAGAGGTTGGGAGACCTGCCTGAGGCCCCACTAAGGCAGAGCCCTGGGCAGGGACCCCAGGCACTAGGCTTTGGGGAGGGATCCTACTGCTCTTGGGTAGCCTCACCCACCTTTTCCTGTCCAGTTCAGCACACGAGACCAAATAGAACAAACTAAAAATACTTCCGATTTTACCGGTTTGTGTACATTACAGGAAATCTGCAGAAATACAGCAGAATTTTAAGAAAGGAGTTAGGTTAATCAGCTCAGGTTATTATAACAAAATACCACAGACAGGGTGGCTTAAACAGCAGACATTGCTTCTCACAGTTCTGGAGGCTGGAAATCTGAGACCAGGTGCAGCAAGGTCAGGTTCTGGTGAGGGCTCTCTAACTGACTTGGAGACAGCCACCTTCTTGCTGGATCTCACGTGGAGAGAATGAAAACCAGCTCTCCTGCATCTCTTCTTAGAAGGACTCATCCCATTACGGGATCCCACCTCAGGACCTCATTAAATGGAATCACCCAGTGCCCCATGGATTCTCCTGGCCTGGACATCCCCAGGGAATGCTGTCTGCACAACCTTGAAACTTGCCCGTAGTGGTGGGCTTTTCTTGCATTCACGTGACAAGCGTTTATGGAGTTCCCACTGTATGCTGGTCACCAGCTGTGGTGCTGCCCCATGAAGCCCTCAGGAGCAACGGATAGAAGCAAACAGCGCCAGCACCTGTTAAATGGATCAGCAAGGTGTGGGGTGAAGGGGGCTCCCTGGCAGTGGACGGAGGTGGGGGTGTTTGGGACCCTGGGGTGGTTCACCAAAGTTCCCCCACCCCTGGGGATTTTGTCAGGTTCTCAGACCCAACCTCCCATTTCACAGATGACAAACCCAGGCCTGAGAGGCCAAGGTCACTGGTGGTATCTGAGCTTTGCTGGGTATAGTGGCTGGGCTCGGGGTGCCCCAGCCTCACGGGCCTGTTGCAGCCCTAGGGTTGTGGGGGAGGCAGCTGGGGAGGAGCTGAAGGCGGGTGGGTAGGCGAGGTCTGGCTTCCTGTGGGCCTGACCTGGGAGGGAGGCAGCTGGCTGCCTGCCCAGTGGGTTGCAGGGTTTTAACCAGAAGAGGTGCCGAGGCCCGGGCCAACGGCACTGCCCCGAGCAGGCTGGGTCTGCCAGCGGCACTGGGCGGGGGACCAGGTCTGTCTGACCTGCTCCTGGGCTTATGCCTGCGTTGAGCTAGAGGAGGAAGGAATGGGGAATGCAGATGGGGGCAGGGTGTTGTGAAACCATTAGGAAAATTTTGGGGGGGAAAGGCCAATGCCTTTTCAGGCTTAATAAAGTCAAGCCATGGCCTACGGGGCAGGGAGGTATGGGAGGTCAGCTGGGTCCTCTGTGGGGTGAAAGGTCAAGCTGCTCTGGTCCTCAGGGTTTCATGGGGGAATGAATGGAATGTGACTTGCAGATGCATCCCCCAGTCCCTCATGGCCCAGCCATGGCTGCCAGTGCCTGTGGTGGTCCCAGCAAGGTCTTGGGCTTTGGGGGCTCCTCCCCCAGTCTGATCCTTGGCTCCCAGGACATCTGTGCCCTGGGTGTGATGGGGTCGTCCAGGCTTCTTTTGGAGCTCCCGGCAGGTGTGAGGGTGGGGAGAGACCGTGCTGGGGTACCTGCACTGACCTCTTACTTGTCCCCAGGGCAAATGCTGAGAAAATGAGGCCATCCTGCCTCGCTCCGCCCCCAGGGCAGCCGACCCCCTTCTGCAGCCTGGAGCGCCAGGCGCATCAGCCTCAGGAAGTAGCCGAAATACACTGACCTGTTTTCCAGGAGGCAGCGGCGCCTTCTTCTCCCACCCTCGATGGTGAGAAGCCGCCAACCATTTCCATCCCAAATTGATTTCAAATAAGGAAGAGTTATCACATACCATCATATGGGAATAATTTATCACTTGTTAATAAAAGAGCAATTACTTATTCACGTTGCCCCTGCCTGTGCGCTGTGGGTTCAGTTGCAGAGACATGATTAGGACCCTCACAGAAGCCAAAGGAAGCTTGTTTGTGCTCAGCCACGACCACCCTTCCCTGGGCCTGAGGGTCCTCAGTCTGGGGTTGGGGGCTTAGATCTATGAGATGGGAGCAGGGCAGAGGTGAGGAGAGGTCAGGAGGAGTGGCAGCAGGACTGTGGAAGGCCCAAGCACACAGATGGACTTTCAGGCTGGAAGCTGTCCCTTTAAATGTCTGGATTTCAGAGGCTTCTGGAGCCAAGAGCCTGATCGTCCCTGGGGACGCGGAGAGGGGGTAGGGAGTGGGGGAGGCGTACTCGGCCACCCTTGGCTGAGCAGGGGCTGAAGAAGGGCGTGTGGGCCCTCATCCCTGCACCAGACACCAGGCCCCGCCCTGCTGGAGCTCTCAGCCCCACTTTCTCCTGCACCTGGGAGACGCCTACTTCTGACCCATGTTCGCCTCCACCTTCGGCAGACACACTCTATTTTCTCCTTTTTATTTATCCCTGCCTCTGAGATTTCAGTGCAGCCTTTTTTAGAAAGACAACGCTGTGGTCAACTATAGCTCGCTCAAAGTTAAAACCTGCGCCCAGCCCTCAGAGGCTGGTCTGGAAAAATCAGCTTGCATTCCTGGAAGGCAGCCACTATTGCCTCATTCTTCATTTTTCCCGGTGGTTACCTTCACATTGCCATGGCTCCTTCCCCAGCTCCCTCTTCTTTAGCACACTCCCCAGTGTGGCTGTCTTGCTACCTTCAGTTAATTCATAACCAGTGTTTCCAAGCTCAGGTCACATAAATCAATGCTCTTCGCTACTCTTGTGTGGCCTTTTGTTTTTCCTGGAGTTTACAGTTGGCTTTGTCTTTTTTTCCCCTCTTGTCCTATCTGCTACTCTCATGTGCTTACTCTTCATGTCAGGCATTCTAATGGGCCTCTGGTTTTACCGCAAGGAGGTCTCACCCCAGGCTTTTGTCCTGCTGCCCCCACCTGGACCAAGGAGCTATGGACCCCTCACAGCTCCCAGGACTTCCCTTCGTCACCCAATGTTTCTTGGGCCCCATGTTTTCCTCCTTCAGGGTTTATGTCCTGTTTTACTTGTGTGGCCTTTTGTTTTTCCTGGAGTTTACAGTTGACTTTGTCTTTTTTTTTTCTCTTGTCCTATCTGCCACTTCCATGTGCTTACTCTTCATGTCAGGCATTCTATTGGGCCTCTGGTTTTCCGCAAGGAGGCCTCACCCCAGGCTTTTGTCCTGCTGCCCCCACCTGGACCAAGGAGCTATGGACCCCTCACAGCGCCCAGGACTTCCCTTCGTCACCCAATGTTTCTTGGGCTCCATGTTTTCCTCCTTCAGGGTTTATGTCCTGTTTTCGCTGAAGCACATCCCCCACTAGCTCTCTACGGAAGGCACAGTGAAGAATCATTCTATTAGTCCTCAATGTTAGCAATCAGTTCAAGCTGCCCTGGCCTGGTCCAGAATTCCACGTTGAAAACAGTTCCTCCTCGCAGTTTTAAAGCCATAGCAATGAACAGATGGGTGCCCAGTGTGCTGTGGAGAAACCTGGTGCCATGTAGCTTTTAGTCTGGGTGCCTCAGGCCTCCCGAGGTCTCAGATCGCACTGTGAATGTCATTTTTTGTGCTAGGCACTTGCCCAGTGCAGGACCAGGTCTTGGGCTCTGGGAGATTTTCTGGTATTATTTCTTCGGTAACTTTTTTCTCTTGTTTTCTGTTTCTGAAACTCCCCATGTACAGATGTTGGACCTGTATATCTGTCTTCTGAATATCATCGTTTCCCCCCCTCTTTCTCATTCACTTTTCTTTTTGTAGGACTTCCTTGACCTTGTTTTCTAACACTTCTATTGATTTTTTATTTTATTTTAGCAATTCTATTTTTAACTTCCAGGCACTCTTCCTGTTTTCCGATGGCTCCTTGTTCGTGGCACCCTGTTCTTGTTTTAAATCCTCTTCTATCCCTACAAGGACACTGATTAGATTTCCCAAACTTGTATCTGTTCCCCCTGCCGCACTGTCTCGGCTTCCTAGAGCTATTTTCCCTCTTGTCTCCATTGGTGCCTTTTCCAGGCTCCACATTTCCTGGCCACATCTACTAGGGAAGCTCTAAAGGGGATCGGATGCTCTGCTGAGACTGGCAGGGTTTGGGCCACCAGGCAGGGGCCCCAGTAGGGGTGCCCCTTTCTCTGGGTGTTTCTTCAGGGGAGCAGCCCCGTCACCTGTTCCTTGCGCCTCTCAGCATGTATCCCGTCCCCATCATTGTGGGGCTCAGGGAAGAACACGTCTCCCACACGGGTGGTGGGTGGGTGGGGAGGTGGAGCCCCGAGTGTGCCAGGGTTGCCTGAGAAGCAGCAGCAACCTGACTCAGTGCTAAGGGCAGACAGGACTCTCTCATGCAAACTCCTCGTTTCCTGGCCACACCTACTAGGGAAGCACTAAAGGGGATCAGATGCTCTGCTGAGACTGGCAGGGTTTGGGCCACCAGGCAGGAGCCCCAGTAGGGGTGCCCCTTTCTCTGGGTGTTTCTTCAGGGGAGCAGCCCATCACCTGTTCCTTGCCTCTCTCAGCATGTATCCCGTCCCCATCATCGTGGGGCTCAGGGATGAACATGTCTCCCACACGGGTGGTGGGTGGGTGGGGAGGTGGAGCCCCGAGTGTGCCAGGGTTGCCTGAGAAGCAGCAGCAACCTGACTCAGTGCTAAGGGCAGACAGGACTCTCTCATGAGGGAGAGCTCCAGGCCTGTCTGCGAGTCTGTTCTCTGCTGGGGCTGAGCTTGGTGGAGGCGGGGAAGTGGCTCTAGGCATTGCTTGCAGCTCAGCCTGGCTGCTGCGCAGGTGATTCTAATGTGCAGCCAAGGTTGAGAACCACTGCTCTAGGCACTGCTTGCAGCTCAGCCTGGCTGCTGCACCCTCCTCCCACCCAGACACCGCCTCTCCTGGCTGAAGCAGGGCCGCCAGGCCAGGCTGGAGCCGCCTTGAGACAAGCAGACAATCAGCAAGGCTCCGGGTGCCACCCCTGAAGCTGGGCCTCACTTCCCTGGGCTCCTCGCCTGAGACAGGCTTGACCGGGTCGGATTAGCAGAGGCCCACACCAGCCTCTGGGGAGGCAGAACTCTCTGGCCACAGAGCTGGGCCCCAGGTGTGGGTGCTTAGTGGGGTTTCCAGGCTGGAGGCATCTTGGGCCCCAGGGAGGCGGGGGCTGGCCCATCCTCATCCTCATGTCACTGGCAGGCAGCAGACTCAGTGTGGGTCGGCAGCTTCCCCAGCCACTTGGGGAGGGGGGTGCATGGAGCCCAAAGCTCCAGACCCCAGGGCCCCCACCTCAGCAGCCCAGGGAACAGAAGGCTTGGGCCGAGGACAAGGCCCTGTGGGGATCAGGAGCCCAGAGCATGCCGGTCCACTGCAGGGGTGGCGGTCAGCTGCCCCTTCCTGCTGTGTGGGTCTCTGGGAGTCAGGGCCTGCTCTGGCCTCCTGGGACTGTGGGGTGGAGCCCGGGACCCTGACCTTACTGGTGCTCTGTGCTCACCCCACCTCTCTGAGCCTCAGAGCCCTTGTCTGAGGAGTGGGGTTGACAGTCACCCCCTCACTGTGCTGTGGGATGAGGGAAGTCTGCACCTGGGGCCATTCCCAGGGAGGCCAAGGATCCCATTTCTCCCTTTCTCCCCTTCCTTCCTGTTCCCCTCTCCCCTGGTGGTGGGTGCTGAGTGAGCCTGGGGCTGGGACAGAGGACTGACAGGAGACAGACTTGCCCCAGAGGCCCCTTGCGGCATCAAGGCACTGGTGCTGGAATGGGGTGTCCCCGGGCCACTGTGCTGCTCAGGGGTGTCTGGTGGCCTCCAGCACTGGCCCACCCACCACTCACTCACCCCTGGAGCTCCCTGTCCTCGCGTGAGGCTGGCTGCATTCCTAGGGGCCCCGGGTCACCTCCTGGCTGCCTGTGACCCCAGGGCCTCGAACGTGGCTGATGGGATGGCGAGGAGGACTGTGGGCCTGCACAGTTCACTTTCCTTTAAGATTCTGGTCCACAGGATGAGTCGGGAAGCCTGGTCACAAGGGGAGCCCACACCCTGGTGCCTCTCTTCTTTCCTAATCCGAGTCGTCCCATCTTTGTTCTTAAAGGGAAAGATCCCATCAAGCTGGGCCGGACCCCTGACGTCCTGGGAACTGACCAGCTGCTTCCCCTTTTCCCAGCCCAAGTGGACAGTGTAATGCTAGTTGGTCAGCGAGCCACCCTCAGGGCAACCTGGCTGCAGACTCCCTAGAGGAGGGCACATTATCCTGGGGTGGTGGGATTGGTGTGGAGGGGCTGTGGCCTCAGAGCCCCCTGCCCCCCAAAACCACCTCCCCATAGACACGTCTCCCTGAAGGGTCACCCTCCTCCTCCCCAGCAGGGCCTGGGGATCGGTGCCTCCTCCCGGTGCCCGGTGCCCGGAGCCATCCTCCCTCTCTCCTCACAGACACTCTGGTTCTGTCTGTGTTTTAAGTTGTCCTCTCTGTGCCCGTTCGATGGCCAGCCCTCCCCCGGCCTCTTTAGCCAAATACTTATTTTTCTTTTGACCTGCGGGCTGTTTCAGGTTCACCTCCTCCCCTCACCACCCTCCAGCCCCATGAGATGCTGCCAGGCCCTGTCCATCCCTGCTGTGTGGCCTCGGCCGGACAGTGGCCTTCTCTGACCCTCAGTCTCCTTTTCGTTGGGTGGGGGTTTGAGTGACTCCATGAGGCCGTGGTGAAGGTGAAGGCAGCAGCCCCCACATTCCACAGGCCCTCGCCACGCTTCCATCACAAGCCAGGTGGGCACACTATTTCTCTAAATGGCCAAGTACTAAATAATTACAGCTGTGTGGGCCGCCCGGCGTGTCGGACCACTCCGCTCCGCTGGGGCAGCTCTAAAGCAGCCACAGGAAGCACACAGGTGGGACTGCCCGCCCACAACACGTTATTTGCCACAATAGGTAGCAGCCGACGGGCTGGCTTGCTGGATGCCACAGCGGTTCTCAACCTGTGGGTCGCGACCCCTTTGGCAGTCGAACGACCCTTTCACAGGGGTCGCCTAAGACCATGCTGCATATCAGATATTTACATGACGATTCATAACAGTAGCAACATTACAGTTATGAAGCAGCAACGAAAATAATTTTATGGTTGGGTCACATGAGGAACTGTATTTAAAGGGCCAGAAGGTTGAGAACCACTGGAATAGAAGATTTGAGGGCCCATTGGCTCTGACAAGGGCTGCAGTTTGGCCACGTGAAGGTGGTGGTCGCCTGGCCTTGGCTGGTGGTGACTCCAGTGGGAGAATCTCAGGCTGTGAAGGTCATTCTCTGCCTCGAAACCCTCATCCCCTGGAAAGCACCGCACCCCTGACGCTCACCAGTCCGCATGGGGCTTCTCCATGGGCTCCACGGGGCTGCTCCCACCTTTGCAAACCCCAGCTCGGTCTCAGAGCCCCTGAGCCCCCTGCTCCGTGTCCGTGAGAGCTCGGCTGTTCTGGGACAGCTCGGAAGGGCTGCAGTCCAGCCGCTCCGCCCAGACTGGGGCTGATCTCAGGCGGCTGAGAGGCAAGAGGGGCTGATCCCAGAGGGCGATGCGACAAGGGCCTCCCAAGATCTGCACTTGTCTTTTCATAGCAGAATAAATCCTGCTCGAGCAGAGGCCGCCTGCTTGCCTTGTTGGTGATGTTTGACAAGTGCCGAGGGCTCGAGAGCACGTGGGGATATGCCCTCCGGTCTTCTCCTCCACCAGCCTCCTTCTCCTGCTTCCTGGGAGGGGCTCCCATGTTAGCCCCGCCTCGCCACAGCAACCCC